ATAGTTCCCGAACGGATGAACCCATTTTGATTTTGTTTAAAAGGTGTATTAGTCGGGAGTGTTCTTCACTTTGATGAAAATCGATACAAGATGGCCGCCGCCACAAAATGTCGGATCACATATTTTATCACCATTCCATCAATATGGGTATCAAATAAGAGGGCTTGAGTAGTAGAATACTGAACACTATGACAAATTTCAAATCCAAGATGGCCGCCACCAAAAATGTTGGATTACCTACATATTTTTCACGACTCCCTCAATACGGACATTAAATAAAAGGGCTTGAGTAGTAGAATACTGTTTACTATGACAAAATTTTATATACAAGATGGCCGCCGCCACAAAATGTTGGATTATCTATTTATTTATTTATTTATTTTGTACACACATACAATTTCATATGAACAAATGTAACAGACATTAGTACAAGGGCACTGCTTATTTCAAATTGAAATTTCTACCAGCAGGCCCAAAACAGGAAAAAGAAATACAATAAGGTAGTCAGTGTGTACCTCCTAAATAAATTAATATGGAATAAAAAAAACAAATTCAAATACCGGGAAAGAGAGAAAATTAAAATACATAACGGTTCAAACATTATATAAATAATAATATATATATATCTATAATATATAAAGATTAATAATACCTACACTATTCAATATCAACAACAGGAAAGATAATGATCCTTTACTCTTTTTTTGAACACAGAAATAGTGCGACTGTCACGTATATCGGCAGGCAAAGAGTTCCAGAGTCTAGCAGCATGAACAGTGAAGGAATATGAAGCAAAATCCGTTTTGTGTGAAGGAGTTTCAAGTCTTAAGGTGGGATCTGCAAAGAGCATCAGGAGAACGGAGAACGGAGAAAGGAGAAAGGCTCACGCAGATAGGAAGGATAGACGGGATTATACAGGATGTTGAACAGAAGACAGACAATCCTGACATATCTACGCTGACGAATGGGAAGCCACATGAGCTGCTTACGTAAATGTGACACATGATTATACTTACGAAGACCATAAATAAATCTAATCGCTAGATTTTGAAGTCGTTCAAGTTTGTATAATAACTCCTCAGTGGCATCCAAGTAACATGCATCTGCATAGTCAAGAAGAGGTATAATTAAGGATTGTGCTAGTAACACTTTAGTTTTAAAAGGTAAAAAGTTTTGAAGGCATTTAAGTGTGTGAAATGAGAAGAAGGTCCTACGACTAACCTCAGATACATGGGCAGTCCATGATAGATTTGAATCCATTGTAATTCCAAGATTTTTTACAGTGTCTGTTAACTCGATCTGAGTCCCATCCAAAAGCAGGGGTGGTAAAGATAATGCAGAAATAGAATTAATATTAAACCTGCTACCTATCACAATGGCCTACCTTAACCTCCTCAATCGCAAATCAAACGAGCTATCCGGCACCATCGAGCTTTTCATTTGTTTATATAAGTATGAGCAAATGAATCGTTCCTCGATATTATTGAACAGAAAATCAAAAGCAGATCGAGCGTTCTACCGCCTTCATACATTTGAAGTGATACCGCAGACCATGAGATTTGTGACCGATATTGACAGATAGTACAATCTCATGAGCAAACACTTGAGTTTTTCCATACATTTTATAAGTGCATGCGATTCGTGTGATATCGTTCATTCATATCGAATAACATCGCATCTAGCCATGAGAAAAGAACCTTAGGTTACTTTCCATTCACATAAAGCCGCGGGCACAACTAGTTTAATATAATTCTAATTTACTACTTTTCCAAACAGGAAACAGTCCATGTTTCCTATGGATGACGAAAATATTTCGAAATCGTCGACGAAAAATATGGCACGCATATTTTTTAATTAATATTTATAATTTTATTGATATATTGTCATCGCTATTTATATTTATAGCCTATGATTTGGCTAAACTTGTTTCTTTTAATTTTTGTCCGATCTTAACAGTCGTGTTTTTAATTTTTAAATAATTTTTATATTTTATTCATTTTAGTGAGCAGTTAATTTTGTATACAGATTATATATTTTTAATGGACCTTTAATTTGATACCCATAAAGTTATGATTATAAAAAAACATACTTTTTTAAATGGCATCACACGTCCCCATACCTATTTAATATTAATAATTAAGCTAGTTTCACTGATACTCTATGTATTTTGTGGTTACTTAGGATGATGTTTCTAATGATACCCTGTACATTCATATCCGTTATATCTTTCAAAAGTTATGGTGCAATAAAAATACTCACATACATACATTAATTCTAAAAACAATAGACTCCTTTTCGAGAGCAGTCGTTTAAAATATTCGGGAATCGATAATGAATCTCACCATAGAAATACTAAAATAAATACAAAAATTGGGAAAAGTATCAAAATAGCTTGAACGTGGTTTCAACACAGTATTGTGGACTCGTGACCTTGAACAAGTTCTCGAGAACTCAAATCACAGAGTGAAAATTTGTCATATGGCTCTTAAGGTTATCTTTTATAGCGGAAAAAAGAGTTGAAATAAGATATAAAAGTTTGTACAGAAAATTTTGTATTTTCATTTAGCAAACACTCGACCTAATAAACTGTTGGCATTTGAAGTGTTGGGATTTTGAACTTCTAATCGTATGGTGTTGATCTAATGTTTGATATTTTGACTTTTTTACTTTATAAATGAGACCCTAATAAAGTACCTACAGCCAAAGAATTTTATAACGTACCTATCGTCCATAGGCAAAAAATGACGGGTATAAAAAGAATGAAAATAAATCTCAAGAACTGCTAATCCTTGCAATTCAAACGTATTTCTGAGAGTGCAACAGGCGAAAATAAAGTTGACTATAAATAAATTGTCGCTGAGAAACTTTTAAAATGGTCGGATATACTCGTACTAAAGAGAAAAGTAGCATCGAACGAGAAGTTAAACTTTTTCCAATTCTCTAGGTGCACCGAACCATCCTTCTACGTCTAATTCTTCCGAGTAGGGTGTCCATTTGTTTGGTGTTCTTATATTTTTATATCAATTTAATTAATTCACTCAGTGCTTAGCGCGTTCGATCAGCGCAATACGGCTGATAAGAAAAAATCGCAAGGGCCGCTCATACGGCCCAAACAGTTATTATCTCGATCTCCTTCGTGCTTCATAAAAGCACGTTTGCAAAATGGGTGCAGCAATGGGGACACGAATAGGCTAGTGATGGTAAATTAATTTAAGTATTAAAAAATTTTAAATGGACTTTTATAACAATAGCGACATCTCTTGATCGAAATATGAACTAATAATTCAAGTGCGGAATTCGAAAGATGGCAGTTATAATATAAACTTTTTCATTATATTTCAAGGACATTAAAAAGTAGACTACAAACATATTATACTAGAGCACGTGAGTTAGGCCTCAAAACGTTTTACGGCTCTTGCTCTCTACTCACGTATGCGTAATTAGTACGGAAAAGGAGCAGAGTGAAGCGATGCGAACGAAGTTTAGTTTAAAGCGACCTTTACTATGCATCGTCAGTACAAAAAGACATTTTATCGCAATCTTCCCTCTTTTATTACAGAGTTACATTTCTTTTACAAACAGCCATAAGTTTTCCATACATATTACAAAATTTGATGATGCATGATACATAATACAAAATTTCATAGCCACATAATAAACGATGTGATGTCGAAAAGCATAATAACATTCATAAATAACCTTCCAAAAGATATTAATACTACATTTGGAACAATTTTTTTGTTTTTGCCTAGAACACGCAACTGAGGCGTTCTCATTGAAAACAACACAGAATTCACAATTGGCTACTTATCTGTTCTGGGAAAAGTATTTAAAATCTTTTATATGATCATATTATTAAACCACAACCTATCAGATTTATTTTTCTACAAAAATGTTATTCAATTAAGGAAAAACATATACACATTCATTCATCTAAATTGTCCATCGAAAACAATCAGACACGTGAAATTTCGAGCCATGACCGTCACATTTCAACAAATACTGGTTGCACTCGCAACCAGTACAAAGACGTTGACGTTTACTTTATTGAAATGTGACGTCACACAATGCTCCGTCATAGCCACCCGTGTTTCGGTTCTTGTAGTCCACAGATTTTAATCGTAAGTTGATTTTGCAAAAATAAAATATACTACAATTTATTTTAAAATAAATTTACTACAGTTATTTTATATATAGAAGTTTGGAACATATTTCATAATTTATAATTATAAATGTAACGTAGCCAATTCCCTATAACCGTACTAACTTGGTAACCAAGAACACCTGACATTGATAAGTCGCAGTTTGAAAGCGGATAATTAAGAAGGATGCTGTGAAAGACAGTTTTGTTTCCGTTCGGACGTTCCAAGAAAGAAGCGGCCATTTTGTGAGGGTAGCTTTGACAAAATGGCGTCGTGTCGGAGGTCACTCAGTCGGCCCCTTGTCGTGTTGGCGTGAATAGAAGAATTGTTAATAGTGATCTGGTATAAGACAGTATACCATACCTTTTGACGGTACCGAAATCTTCGTAAATAATATATTCATTTTTACTACTAAAAAACAGTGATTTTATTTTTAATGCATTTTAAAAAATAACTAGCAATTACTAATAAACAGCTGAATTAAGGTGATGAAGTCTCGGTGATATCACGTCTAACGTACTGAACTTAGGATTTGGTTTGTCTGTTTGACTATTAATAGTTAATGACATCTGATACACGAGCAAATGTATGATACAGTAGTCAACTTAATTCAACCCCCCTCACCGCATTCATTTGTCAGAAAACTCATCAAATTCCATAAAGGCCCAAGTTTAAAGGTCACTCACTACATTAATATCTGTTGTGTGCCACGAAGTCTAATTATTACCTTTTACATACACACTCGATACTCTATTTCCAATTTTTATAGTTAAGCTAAGTACACACAATAGAAAAGGCGAGTCATGCCGTTACAATGCTAACCATTGTCTATTTAGCCTTTTGACAGAATAAGGAAAGATGAGGCCAGGTGAAGGCGGCTACAAACAATGAATATTTGACTTACTGTGTCTATAGTAATGAATCATTATTTTGATGATAAAGCGTCGTCTTAAACTGATTTATTTGTAATTCGTTCGTGCCGCTTAATTTTTCAAGTTTAGATAATAAATCTGGTGAATGACAAAAGGTCACAGTGGATTGAAATGTACTAACGTAATTCTAGAACGATCCGGATTAATTGCGAAGAACGTTTAATTTTAATGAGTAATACTATTTCCTAAGTAATTTACTCCGAAACATTTATTATCTATGTGAGAGAATACATAATAAATGTTTCGGAGTTATTTATTTTCTTAGAATTCATTTGTGAGTACTGAAATTTACCATAATGTAAAATCATAAATAAAGCCGTTTAAGATAATTAAAGTTGACAATTTCATTAGAATGTATGTGAACACAAGAATTTTCTTGTTCTTTAATTGTGATTGATGAGTCGGGAATCGGGATTTGTATATCCTGACTCATCAATCACAATTAAATATAATTACGTTAATTTAAATGATCCAGAAACCAATAAAAGCGTTTTTATTAATTGACATTATTAATCAAGAGTATCGTGGAAAGCTTCCTTTGAAAATATCATTTTACTTTTAACGAGGATGACGCAAACAAAAAAAAGATGCTAAGGACAAATTTATCGGAAAATGAGAAATGACCCAATATTTCACGGGCTCAAAAGGGCAAGTAGCAAATTAGGGGGAATCCAGTGGAATTTTTAAGCATTAACGTCGATAGGACCCTTGTCAAAGCTGTCGCCATCAACGCGTATAATAAGACCGCGAATGTGAACTAACCTTTACTGATGACGCGGCTTCAATTTATTTATATATGTATTTGCTTGACAATTTACAAACAACTTAGAAATATGAATAACATTTTGTCCTTTCGCGTCAGATAAATATTCAGCCACATTCTTCTTGATTCATGTCAATCCTGTGTTACCCAGCAAAAAGCTGGTAGTTTTGAGTCTTATGCTTCAGTACATTAGTACCTATAATGTGATTTGAGACATGAAAATGCACCTGTTTCCACTGCGTTAACAATAAAGAAGTTTACCCATCAAACGACTGATCGTAGCAATCATTGACCAAACTCATTAACCACTGCGTATCAAGCTCCGATATATATTATTAAAAATCAATGTAAAATAAATGCTTTATTATGATCATCAGTTATTCACTTACACTTAATGATCATTAGATTTTATACTTTGTAGTTTATACTAAAAATAGTTTTCTCATTGTTCAAACATTTGAAAATATCTGCATGTCAGCAACCCTGAGATATTTATACACTGGCAAAACCATTGCCAAAAATAAAACCAATGAACGATCGATAATAGCTTCCGTGCGGGCGGCCGTCTGCGTAAAACTTCAAAAAGAGAACGTCAAATACGAACTTTATAAGGCAGCGTCTTAATTGGCTAACGGTCACATGAGCGATGCGATTACATCGTGCGACGAAAATCATAGTGCGATAGTTAAAAACATGGAAAATACGAGATATCAAAATTTAATGGTCTAGATAGAGACAGAGGATGGTTAATAAGCGAAATAGAGAGTTTAAAACTTTTTATTACGAACTATATTTACGAGAAACTCGATGTTGTAGTTGTTCGGTTCGGTACAGTTCGGTTAAGGAACTATCGTAAGGGCCAGTCATATGATGGGTAAACAAAAATTTATTATCTTGCGCTCCTCCGTACTTCAATCATTACATCGTCATCTAATATTACCGATCCGCATTAGGTCAGCGTGGTTTATTATGACCTTCTTATTTGAGGGCAGGCCCGTGCTACTGCAATGAGGACATAATTAGCTTATAATGACAATGCCACTCAAATTATCAAGTGCGAGTCGGATTCGTTCACGAAAATATTAGCAAAAAGAACTTGAAAAAGTATCTCGTTCAAATAAATGTTCGTTGGAAGTGTTCATGGAGATTCCTAGGATATTTAAGATGCACTATCTTGTTTTAAAATTACTTAATAAAGGTTTTATGAACATCATCTCATTTCTTGTAAATCTTTAACATTATCAATAGACCCGCGTATCAAAGCACGTGTAGCTTCGCTAAAATATTTTTTGACTAATATAAGTGTTGTCGTATATAACTGACGAACGAATGCAATTTCGTCGTACGCTAAGGTCGTACGATAAGAAACAAAACTCTTTGAGCGTCTTGGACCACCGTAATGTGACACGGACACGAATTCACTATTTAGTCCACCACAGTGGTTCTAGGTCATAGTACAGCAGAGAGTAGAACAATCAGATATAAAAACAATTGGTCAATCGGAAGATTTAAATTAAAAAATCTGAAAAGTTATATATAACACTGAGTTTTTTATACCTTTCACCATGTGTCATTAGCCTTAGTATTGATGATGAACTACAACATGCCGAGTACCTTTACTTAGACCAAACAAAAAGCTGTTCCAATTTCCTGAATTATCTCTCGTACATTTTTTGTTTGCCTCTGTGGCTGTATGGGCGGGACTAGAAGCCGATCTTTGGACCTTTCGCTGATAAGATTTTTTGTGATGAAAACCTTTAGGCGTAGTTGAACATTATTAACACATTACAAGGGTATTGGATTAATGGAAAAATGGGAGTAGCTATGATGACTGGCATTGATTTTTTCTGGGTTCCGATTGGAAGGTTGTTTACTAAAACGTACTAGACATTTCGTTTTGATATTAAATAACAACCATAGGCCATTGAAATAAATTGTAGGTAAAAGGATAATTTATAATGCAGTAAACTAAAATATTTTTAAGGTTACCAAACTCAACAAGAGAAAAAATAGCACCCTTGTGAAATCATTTTGTTGTCCATCCTTGTCCTTGTGGAGATATCTAGTTGAAAATAAACCGTAAACTCAGGTGTACAACCGTAATTTCTAAATTAACGCAAAAAAAAGATACAACCGCTTAAACAGCGGAAACGCCTTTTGTACATGCAGTGACACACATTTCAAAATTGAAACGACAGATATGATTCTACTTTTGTAACACATGATGAAACCTTACTATTTTAAAATACGAAGGAAAACTCAATGTTTCACGATTAAGAAGCTCAACGGATTTAGATGTCTGATGTATTTAGAAATTGTATCAGTACCTTGTAGAGCAAAAATAATCTTCGTAATCGATCGACTATTACATTATACAACTAACCTTTTTGTATATGTTATGTAAAATATTTTTCGATTAATAGGTATATTTTTTTCCAGTCGCTTGCTCTACTGTGACTGTGACGAAATGCCAAGCTGCTCTGAAGACCCTGCAGGCGTTCCCGTTCTTTAAGCCGACCTGCCTCTGTCGAGAGCCAAACGTGGACCCCGAGTGTAACTCGTTTAGAGACTTCCTGTTCGACCACCCCTGCGTCTTCGTGATGAAGAAGGGTTTGTGTTTTTTCATCACATTTTGCCTTTAATGCTCCTGGAGTACAGGTCTGCAGTCTTACTCTTGAAATCGATCGCAATCGGCCGACATTGAAATTGTGGCGTTCGATAATCTTGACGTGCGACACTGGCATCAATAGCGTTCATATTGAGTTATCGTTATCCGTGTTATTTCAATATAGCGTTATTAATATGGGTTAAATGTTGTGATCGTCACTATTGCAGAGACCGTCTGCAGCTAACTTTTTGTTTATATTCTAAATACTCAATCAAATTGCAATGCTCAAAAATTGTGTTTATTTTTATGTTGTGTTGTAGAAAAAGACCCGTACCCAGTTGAGACCTTGCCGACCTGCACCTATGCTCTGAGTGTCTGCCACAACGAGAAGGCCTGCTCTCTACTATTCGACCGCTTCAAGAACGCATGTAAGACCCGCGAGGGAGAATGCCGCATGGAAGATAGGTTAGTTAAATCATGATCATTAATAGCCGTTTTAGTAGAAATAATATTGCTATAAAACTAATTCACCGGTGAATTGTTTAAGGAATCTATTATGTTTTCAATGGGTTGAGAATATTTCTATGATACTGCTCTCTAAATTAAACGAAAACGAACACTTAATGTACTGGTTACAAATGTTTCTTGTGTTTAGTTAATTGTGTACACAAATAAACAAATTCTATTTTTGCGGATGTGCGGGTTTTCAATTATTATTATCGAGCATCTTCGATAGAAAATGTAACAGTGAAACGAGAAACCACTGTATAGCTCTGAAAAATCGAATTATACTAGTTGGAACGATCTTAACTTTAATGGGTTTGAAATTAAAGAGTAATTTCGCAAAATTTTTAAATATAAAACAGTAAATCTGACGGCCAAATAAATCTTCCCGCTACATATAATCCCGCAAAAACCACAAAAGCATCATCGTTAAAAAAATATATTCTAAAATATTTTAACATTTTTCTTTTGTCATCAAATAAAAATACAATCAAAGCTGTTCAGAAAAAAGTTACGCAACTGACACAGACTACATGTAAATTGTCAATGTTTTAAAAGAGACGTTATCTCGACCGCATGTGAAATAAAACTGGTGTTTATTTTTGCACGACGTTGAACAGAATTTTACACCGACATTACAATAGAAAGACATACAGATGGTATCTATAAATGCATAGTATCTTTGTAAACTTTGATGTATGAACAAAGTGAAAATTAAAGTAAAACTTTATAGAATTTTCTCACAGTAACAAATATCTGTAAACTTTAAAGATCTATTGAAAGTAGCGACAGTAAACCTAAACAAGGTTTTCAGCGATCTGATTAGGTCACGTGATTAAGAGGGGTACTTTAAAACCAATTTTTGATATATCTTATGTCGTCGCATGAACATCATGCTCTGTCCCCTTTGATAAGAGTCTATCCAACACTATGAGTTTAAAAATACATAAGATATTTAATGTCAATTAAGCACAGACCAATTAATCATCGATAAATAATGAAAATTAGTTTTGTCTTCTTCTCTCGCTCAGAGCCCTGATCGATCGGTCTTTTTTCTGCTACTCAACGTAATACAAGTCTGACTGTTATTATTTAATTCAGATTTACTAGTAATATTAGTGACAAAATTTAATTTTCATAAAACTGATCTACAATACTAATTACTTTTAATTCAGTCCCCCATCTAAAACAAATTTGATCTAACTAATCGCAAACAACAAACGCCAATAGATAGCAGATCTCTAACTTGCTCGATTGCACCTTATATTTCTTCAAAAGCCGCGCCTCGAACCAATTTTGAAAGAAGTTGTTCGAGCGTAGAATTAGAATTTATTTTTAGCGCTAAATCATTACGCTCACTCGCGTTACTTAATTTGCACTTACAAAAGTTCCTGGTTAGTTATGGTCTTTCTATTTTTTATAATTTTTTACAAAGTTCAATAATCTTTTCGCAGCAGTATCAGTACCAAAACGAGCGAAGGAACTGGTATTAAAACTGCTTCTGCTGCGAAGAGCTATGCTCTTTTTAACGAAACACAGACTAACTAAAAGAGTGAACTATTTCATTTAGGAGAGTCGACCTAAACTGATCGACCTTTCTACCGATAGATACTCGTATTTATTTATTAAATACTTTATGCACTAATATACAAAGGCGTACTTAATGCCTTAAGCATTCTCTGCTATTCAACCTTTAGATAGTCGCCGAACAAAGAAAATTTCAAACAATGATCCGGTATTACGTATCTCTTACACTTGTGCGAAATCATATGGCTATTGCGCTAGCACAGATGCATCTATCCAATTTTGTCATTGTTGGTAACCTGCTACGCAAAACTTTTTGGCAAATTCAAAATTCTCCGTTTAAAACTAAATGTTATTTACAATTTAATAAAAAACAGTTGTAAACTTCAGTCAATACTAAAATATACGGCTGAAACGATGTGTTTCGTGTTTCCTTAATAAAATACCTGGTAGCCTGGCCTCGACCTTCTTTAGTTATAGAAAAGTTAACTTAGAATATTTACGATATTGATTAGTAGACATAATGGTACGAAATTCTCCCATTCTGTGTTCTGTGATATAATTTGTGATATCTACACCACTTCTCACATATTCTGAACCAACGCTATATAAATAATTGTCGTATTAATTGATAGTTCTATTCACAGGGATGCTTGTCGCGAGGCATGGGCTGGTCTCCGTATGTCGCCGTTGTTCGGTTGCATTTGCCCTAACACCCACATGAAGAAACGTTGCGACCGCATCTTCGCTCTGGTCAATCACAATCCGTGCGTCGGTAAGTAAGCACTTATGTGGTTACGCTGTCCGCGCGAGTCAGAGTGAGAAAATATCCATGGAATCACATTTTTGAACCGAAGGGCACTTAACTGACCTTAATACTTCATCGGCTGTTGACTAATCTGAGTAATCGTCGCTCCCCGCCGGACCAGCCGATGCTGTTCAAACGGTTGGCCTACCCGTCATAATCCTCCGTAGCACCCTTCCGAGTGCCCCGGGGCCCGTGTCATGGGTCCCGGTAACTAGCAAGGAATTCCGGAATAAACAATAAAATCATCTAGAAAATGTAACAATTTCCAACTTAATCATTAACATTCGAATCGAGAATCTTAAACAGAATTAAAAATTTCATTTGAAATAACCACGGAAATTTTAAATAGATTACATATGGGTGTGACAGAAAAAAATATGAAACTATAAAGTATCCATAGTTTCACCATACAGAATGATCGACATCGAAACTAGCAGCAACATTAGTACGACTTTGTCCGTTAAATAATACGAAATTTAAATGGAATAGTTTAAAAACAATTAATTGCTTTCAAAGAAACGTAGAAATTACAGGTTCCTCTCCAGTTAATATCCCACAATAATTACGATAATAATGTCCGAAAAAAAAACGTTTTATTGCAAAAGGTCCCAGTGAATGTACAAATACAAATAAGAAAGCCGATCATCATCAGCCTGTTAATATCGGCACGGTCAGATAGGCAAAACGAATCATAACCCCACCAATGCAGGTCCAATGGTTAACACCCACCAATCCGAGTGATAACGACCGCAAATTCAGCTGGGACCAACTGCTAAACGTGCCTTCGAAATCAGAGGAGATGGACATAATTTTTTGATCACATATCCTATAACCGACTTCTGCGAAAGTTGTTTAACTTTCGCATCATAATTTGAACTCACAACTGCATTATGGATCTCCTCAATAGAAACCCGTTATACAATAATATTTCTCTCTCCAATAGAAACGTTCCGGTATCCAGCACTAATTTGCACCAAATTGAAACTGAGAGCTCCCTTAATTAATTTACCCGCTAAAGTTAGTCCCGATTTTTCCCTCTTCCTTATCTTCGGGAACTAAACAAATTTACTACGGAAATTACGCCAACGATTACGCGTAGCTCTCGTTCGATGTAACTAATGGCGGTGTTGCCAGTGCTAATAAACGAGTGAACATTTTAAGGAGTTTGTAAGGAAACTGCAGAAAATAAATGCTTTAAGTGGTGTTTTACAGATAAAACGAACGGGAACCATACGTCTGAGTGCAATCGAGTGACTATTTTAAGAATATTATAGCGCTACAGGCTATTGTTAGAATTTTATAGTATAATAACTATTTTCTCAGGACTTCGGCCGCGTAAATTAAATCTTAGCTTCCAGTAGGTTAAAGAATTTTCATGATCGGATGAGTATTTCCGGAGATTACCCCCTACAAACAAATAAACAAAGTTATAAACTCTACCTCTTTATAATATTAGTATAGATAAACTATTTATAAAGGAAAATATACTACCTGAAACAGAGCGGTACCCTTACATAAATTATAATCAACTAATTACAACAATTATCTGAATTTAAGTTTTGACTGCAACAATTTATGCGCACTGATATCTCTTTTAAACGTACCTATACATTGGTATAAACATTTTGCATTTATTTTTTTAATAAAATCTTGAATTAAGCGGCTATTTGTTACATACAGTCTATGTGCTCGCAATAGGTTACATACAGTCAATACACAAAATAAAACGATGTGCCAAAAGACGATAAAAGTTACTAGACTAACTTCTCCACTAACTGTGTAATTATATACATCCGAAACAGTAATATTATAAAATGTAATGCAAATAATTCTTTAAAGACAATGTTGGCTCTTTTACAAGCTCGAGTACATTTTATACGTAGACAAATCCCAGTCGATTTGATTTTTAATAATAAAAAATATTATCAAAATTCAGTTAAACAGATAAAACCTTAATAAATTGTACACCTAAATCTTCCTAGTCATTTTTTTTCTTCATTTCCATTTGGTAGTTTTTTAAATTACCATGATTACACAGACATCTCGACGAAGCAACTTCGTTATACCTGTACATGAAGAGATATATATTTGAACCTTCCAATAAATAACTACAAGATATATACAAACATACAGAAACAGGCTTAAACCTTACCCACAAAACTATATTACTCTAACGAAACCTCCCTCTATACTATCCCGATATTAATGAAAGACTATTAAGAGTCTAAATCACTTTCTTTATTAATACCGAACTCAAACATGTACGATTTCTTATATAATATAATATTCCTAAAGTAAATAACCCTTCACTGCGAAGTATTTTCATTAGTCCGACTGCTGTCCTATTCTGGTCGCGCAACCATCAATGAGCACTCTAACTTAATAGTCCCGAATAGTGAGTCCATTATTTATATGTCAATTAGGATATGTCGAAACCAAATAGGGTTTAAAAAAAATCTGATTATACCAAATAATCTTTAAAGGAAACTTAGATACTTTAAATATGAGGTTTTTATTTGAGATGCGAGTGAATATATGAGATGCAAGAGATTGATTTATTATAATAAATAAATAATATGGAGTAAAGCATTTCGGCATACGTACATTAATTTGTAATTTTGACTGAATGAAATACTTACTATATTATAATACTTACTATATATAAATACTAACTACTAAATCTTAACAAGGTAATCCTGCCTATGGGATGGGATCCTGTGTCCAATATCACCTAACCCTTTCTGGGTCTTTAAAATACCCTATCGCTAGTAAAGGAAATTTAGTCCATACCATTGAAACTAAATAACTGTTTAGTGAAATAAAGACTTAATATCAAAATTATCCTTAATTTTGGGTCGAAGAACATATTCTAAAGGTAATTTTTATTAATTAATAAATAGTTTGATGAGTGATGAATAACGTTTAAATATTACTTTTATTATATGTAACTATGATTCAAACCTGAACGAAGGTTATGATCGTTAATTTACGATTACCTTTGCCTCATATGTGGCTATATGATGCTATTTGCTGGAACTATTTCAGATGTAACACTAATTTGATATGTCCTGTAACAACGATAACTAATGGTGCCTCTACTTAACGGAGGATTCGAAAGCAACAAGGCCCTAACGTTCCATGTAACACGTTTGATTCATTTCTTATAAGCTCTGCTCAGTTCTTATTGCTACGGGATCAGAGCCGGATCCTTAAGCTCAAAGCCCGGGGTCGTAATCCCGCGTAAATCCCACGCTCATCCCGCCGTGGAAGCGTCAACTTTCAATCTAGTGTAAGCCCTTTTAATTCTATAAATTGTTACTAACTGTTCTTTCTTTTCCCTTCGATTGTTGATCGTGATACCCTCACTGTTTGATTCTATTCGTGATTCTGATAAATTGTGTAAGCTTCATGTCGATTTTTTTCAACTGTCTTTTCTATATAAAGTCTTTTTATTGTTAATTCTGTCGATGTAATTTATTGATTTTATGAATCAGAGAAAACTTTGACTAAAGGGCAAATGAATGTATATAGTAATCTGCCTTGCCAATTAAAGTTATGCTATTAATTTATAAATATGAAAGTTTCTTTGTTTGGATGTTTGTCAATCACGCCGAAACTACTGAACGGATTTTGATGAAATTTGGTATACAGATAGGGTATTAGCCGACTTAGATAATAGATACTTTTTAACTCACTAAACATTTCCCTAGGGATACGCGGGCGAAGCCGCTGGCGAAAGCTAGTACTAAATGTTGGCGATAGTTTTGCTTTTTAGTTTTGTACCAATGAAAGAATAAGAAAAAAAGTTGACCTGAAACATGAAGTCAGTGTCAAATCGATGCTGTGTTTCTTTGGACATTTGGATTCACGGCTGAAAGCATAATGAACCTGATATACTTACAACGCGAAAATAAATGACTGTCTATTGAAAATCTCATCATCGTCTTCATCATCAACCCTTTTTACGTCCCCTTATGGATGGTTAAGGATGGCCCATGACCCTCCACGCTGGCCCCATGCGGATTGAAGGGTATTAACGACTGCAAAATGGAGCCGGGACCAACGGCCTAACGTGCCTTCCGAAGCACGAAGTAGCTCGAGATAATAATATTTTGGTCACCCATCCCGTGACCGACCCTTGCGAAGTTGCTTAACAACAACGAACGCGTACCGCGCCGCTTATCCTATACGCCACCGAGCTACTTGAGTAATTAAAAATCTATTTTGATGTTATTACTCGAAATTTATTCTGAAGTTGTTTCTACACATTCTTTAATAAAAAAAAATAATAACCGATACATCAACTTTCTACCATGATTTTCGTGATTCTCGTTACGTACATGATTTTCGTTATGTAACATCTACTTTAAGTTATTATCCTTAAAATACGACAGATAGACGAAAAGCAAAGTATAAAATTTAACCTCATCTATCTTGGGAATCCGACAACCGGAGTCTGGTTTGTGGGGAAAAACTGGATCTTTGAATCCATTAGATGTGCAATGGTCTATGTCATAAGCTTAGAGCGATATTACAATCACAGACTAAGGAGACACAAATCAGCAGACACAATTTCTATTCACAGATAAAGTACTGCTTTGGAAATACTTTTATAATGAAAAACAAATGAAAAAACCTGTTTAATAAATAATTATGTTATGATTTTTTTTCCGAACATTTACTTTTCGCTTTGTATAAATGTGAATGCGGATGTGAGGAAAAATCAAGTTTTAATACCCATACTTTATTAATTTAACTATTAGCTAATTAAATCAAATATTTAGTATCGATATAAAGATACTTTACAAGCAAAATAAATTTAGAGAGAGTAATAGAATTGTCCGACGCAATATAAACGTACAATACTGATACAGCGATTCATCAATCGATGCGATAGTGCTTCATCATTTGTGCAGAAAAAATCTATAGGTCCTAAAAATCCGCAACGATTATTAAAATTTATAAAG